TTTTTTCTAACAATTATTTATTGTACAAATTTGTGGTTTCATATGACTTCATGCAATTCATGCAATCAATGTTGCAATGCATCAATACAATCAGCAAATTATCACATGACCAAAAATATAACAATTTTATTGGTTATATATTATGTATAATATTCATACTAAATTTTCAAAATTGGGGGGAGTTATGTTAAATGAAAAATCAAATTGATGTGGTCTAATATACAAATATTTTCTTTGTATATTTTGAAAAAATAAAAGAATTAAGTTCAAAAAATATTGATTCTATAAATAAAAGGTGTTTTTTTTTTATGTTTCATACAATACAATGCTTTAATATTTATTGCCTGAAGATCATTACAAATCATACTTATCAATAATATATTATTTTGAATATATTCCAAAATACAAAAGTAATAAATTTTTTTGTTAACATAACGTGCTTCCAATCTTATTCAACATAAGTAAGAAATGATTTTTCAAGTTTAAAGTTGTATATTTATATGATCTTTAAATTTCCATTGCTTGAGCATTAAAAAATCTGCAAGAAAAATCATTAAAAGTAAATTGAGAATGTCTTTGTCATAATATTCGAGTATGTAAGTAATTCAAATTAATGTTTATGGTTTTATCAGATCTAATTATTTTTTATTTAAAATTCAAAATAATATAAGTGACAATTAATTCATGGAAGAATTCAAGTACATGTACAATACAAAATTAAGGATTTATTTTTTGATAATACATTTGATAATACAAGTCAAAAGACTAAAAAAAATTTGTATTATTAGTAATCACAATCAACAAAATTCGTTCAACAATTATCTTGTAATTATTTTACAACAAGTTGGAAACTTAGATTATAATTCTGATAATAATAATTTTTAATTATAATACACACGTATTTTGCTTATAAATTATAAAAGCAAGGGCAGCTCAATCAAAGTTACATTTCTGCAAAACAAAATAACTGCAAGTCTTAAAAAAAAATCTACTTCTAAAACATAACATTTCACCTATAACAATTAATATGCAAACAATTACATTCAATCCAAACTTTTCAATTTTTGATAAAATGTTCATTCCATTATCTCAGATCACTTTTTAGATATGGAACCATTAGAAGGTAATCAATTCTGATCTATACAACACAAATCATCTAATAAGTTAAAGAAAACGTCTCCAAGTCATTAAAATCTTTTAAATGCAAAATATTTCGTAAATAAAAGAAATTGAATCATCACGGTCAAAGAAAATATGTTTTCAGACATTCTATCATTCACATCTGATGAAGATATTATTGAAATTGATGAAATTATTGATATTTATTCATCATTTTCACCTTTTAGAAATATAGAAAGATTTCGTCATCTGCTTTAAACGAAAATGATACCATTTATAATATCAAAAACAATTCTATCAAATGCAATCCATTAGAAATTAAATCAATTCATAATGAAGGCAAAGAACTCCGTTAACGTATCGTACAATATTTCTCATTGTATGTTGAGCATATTATTTGAATAAAAGATTGTTTCTCTTTTGAGTGAAGATTTGTTTTTTGTGCAATAATGATTATAGCGATTCTATCAAAATTCACTGTGAAAGAATATATGAACATTATTTAACAAATTATCTGATAAAAAGGCAAGGATAAATAGAAGCAATTTAAATCTTGACTATCTTTTATATTCTTGAAAACATTAATAAGTAGTTATATGTACATAGTATAAATATGTATATTTGTAATTAGCTTAAATAATTACAAACTTCTTATAATTTTTGATTAATTATTAACATTACTTTTTATATAATATGCATACTTTATTAAAAAAATCGAGCATTTTTATTTTAATTTTTAAAAAACTTTGACCCAAAATATGTATCTAATAAAACTAGATTATAGTGTTAATAATTTCATGATTACTGTATATATACAAAATCAATATACCGAGTTTGATATTTAAAATTTTCAATGAGAAAATCTTATATCTGTTCCTTATTCTTTTATTAGTTAGAATAGGATTTATGTATGTTCGTTTGATATTTAGCTAATCCAAAAAAAGAAAAATAATGATAAAATTAAATCTGTGAAATAGCAATTTTTATAATATGGAATTATAATTTATTAGATTGCAAAGAAACTCTCAGTATTATTGCTTTTAATTTCAATTTTACTAGCTGTCGTTGAATATAATCAATACAAAATGCAAATAAAAATGTTTATAGATGTTGTTGAGGTAAGGAAGCTAACATGATTAAAGAACTCAAAGTAAAACTGTAATTATAACAAAATACTCATAATATAATTCAGTTCACTCTTTATTTTTTCACAACAATTTATTTTTAGTACTTAAAATCCTTTTGTAACCAACATGAGCTAGGGTTAGGAGATAATGGATGAGAAAGTATATATTCATAGCATTATATAGATATACAAATCTTTGTCAATAGCTTTACAAAAATATTTAAGAGCTTCTGCTCAAAGCTCTAATTATTGTAAAACAACCTCTATACAGTATCCTCTGGAATTCATTTGCTTCATCATCAGCAGCTTTCTTAAATAATTTAGCAACAATCTTTTCTTTCTCCCTGAATTTAATATTTAAATAATCCTATGCTTTCGACATATAATATGCTATGCTTCATAATATTTAACCCCTCAAAATATTAAATTTTGAAAACTCTTTAAAGCAACTACCATGCGGTTTTTACGAGATTACCTTGTTTTTAATTAAATATCAAATTACTCCTTATTATTTGTTTATAATTCTCGTAATTTCTAAATTCTATAAGTAATTTTTATCATAAATGAGCCCATGATATAATATTTGAAAATTTTGTAATTCTTTAAGAATTCAAACCTGATGCTGTGCGCTATTTTTATCCTCATGCTTGAACAGGACTAGATCAATCATACTACAGGATTAAAGCTATATAATATATATGTAATTAATTGCATCAAGTATATTTAAGTCCTTTGCGCTGATGATGATAAAATAATAATAAAAATATGTTTAATAACTTTTGAGTGCTAAAATAACTACGTAAAAAAATTTGCAATTATTTTGGGATTTTTTCACCTTCGCATTTAACTCTCCAAAGCAATGACAGATTTATTTTATTTCAAGAAAAAATAAATAAATAATTTAAATCACATTTGAAATAGACGACGTTAATTTAAGATAATAAAATAAGAAGAAACAGTTAACAATGTTTTTAATAAAAAAGGTGATAAAGATCAAAAAATGTTGAATTTTTTTTATATTAACATTATAATCGTAATGAGAATCAAAAACAAAACATGGTTATCAGTAATTAAGCAGCACAGTAAAATCACAATAATCATGGATTATTCCTATCTTTATGTTTTTCAAATTACCTCATTATTAATGTCTTTAAGTTGTTTTAAAACAAAAAATAACTTGATACTGAATGAATGTGTAAACTTTATGGAAATGATTGATAGGTTAAATAATATGCCAAGAAATTACTCACCTGAAATTTTAAAACAAATTTATTGCAATTATATTCTTTATATATCAAGTTTTTTGAAAGAAAATCTGCTACAGCTTTCATTGATTAAATTAAAAATCTTTTTTTACATTTATTATCCAAAACGTAATAAATGCTCGCGTGATGTCAAAATTCGTTAAATAATACAATTCGTGCTTTTTATTAAAAAAATAATTTCAAATAAATGAAAATATTTTTGTGAAATCAATTGTCATTTATTGCATTATTTTCTCTGAAAAATGTGAAAACATTTTTCGTACTATATTATTATTTTATATGGTATGCAATTGCTTAATCCAATCAATATAACTAATATTTCAGATTATAAGAAGATAGATTTATTTATTGGCAATTGATACTTTGGATTCAAGAATAGACTATTTGTTGTAGTCTTAATAAGTATTAATGTTTTCTAGATAATCAAGAAGGTTAATTTAACCTAATCCTAAATATGAGTAATTAATGAATGATTTAAACTTTTTTCGGATTTTATTTTATTTTACAAATATTATTGGATTTCTGCAATTGTTACTAGCAGCCCTTAATTTTTATTTAAAATTCGTTTATACTGTATATTTTTGTGATAACATCTGAACAATACTTTTATTCATTCGACAAGTTTTCTAATTTTAACGCGTTGTATAATAAATTTTAATCATGTGATCGGTGACAGATTTGCTGGGTGATGCTAATGTATATACTCAATTATACAATCTCTTCTTCATTAAACATTACATTATTACTAGAATTAGTTTTTTCAATATGAGTTATCGTGAAATATTCTCTAATTTAAATCTGGTCTGGTTAATCGAAACAATAAAAAAAATTAGGGATCGACGATTTGCGCCCTTGGGTGATTCGGATCGCAGCGATAGAATATTTTCTTTTTTATTGAAAGGATCTTTTCCTTTACTTTATGTTTCTCTTTCGGGTTTGATCACTTTTACAAGTATTAGTTAATTCAGATTTTTTTAATTTTGGGTTGATTGATTTTTTTTTAACCTTTGAAAAATTCAGGCAGCAGCGATAATTTATTAATTTTTTCTTTAAATTTACATAATGATTTTTTTTTGATTATTAATTATCCTAATTTTTATATTTTCTAGTTTCTTTTCGATTCGTGTCGTAGGCATTTTCGAGTTGCTTTTCAATAAGGTTATTATTATTTTGTAACTGCTTTTGTTTCTTTATTAATTATTTTCTTGATCGCCGCTGTTAGTTTTTTTTCTTATTGTTTTTACAAAAATCGGGGGTATTATATGAGTCATTTACGTAATGGTGATTCCCCATTATTATAATTGGGCGGAAGTGTTAACTTATTTGGTAAGATAAGAAAGTTATACAAGCATACTAGTAGTTTATTTATGGAAACAATTACAATTGAGAAAAATTAAACCGAGGGCTGAGTAAAGAGAAGATTTCTATTGGTAATTTTCCATGCAAAAAATGATAAAAAGCACCAATCCGAAAAATGTGATTTAAAAAAAATGGTTTTAAAAAAAAATTTAGAAAAATCCTTAAAAAACCTAGAAATAAGAATTAAGGAGTTAGAGCAAAGTAACGAAGGGCTACATTCACAATTTAAAAATTTAGAAGAAAAGGTTAAAGAGCGAGACGAAGAAACCAAAGACAAACAAGAAACTATAAATAATTTAGAAGAAAAGATTAGAGAAGAAACCAAAGCTAAGCAAGAAATCATTAATAACTATGAAGAAAGGTTTAGAGAACGAGAAGAAGCATCCAAGGAAAAGCAAGATATTATTAATGAATTAGAAAAGAGAATCAGAAATCTTGAATTAATAGTTTATGATGATACTATTGATAGTTTAACGATTACAGATACTAACAAGGACATATTAAACACAACAGGAGAATTGCTAAAATATCGAAAATTGACAAAACTAATTTGTAATGAAAGTAAAATAACCAGCCTACCAACTTTACCCAACTCCTTAACGGAACTCTATTGCAATGATACCAAAATAACCAGCTTACCAACCTTACCCAACTCCTTAACGGAACTCTATTGCTCTAATACCAAAATAACCAGCCTACCAACTTTACCCAATTCCTTAACGGAACTCTATTGCAATGATACCAAAATAACCAGCTTACCAACTTTACCCAACTCCTTAACGACACTCTATTGCTCTAATACCAAAATAAACAGCTTACCAACTTTACCCAACTCTTTAACGACACTCTATTGTGATGGAACTCGAATAATCAACTTACCGAATATTCCCGATTCCTTAACGGATATCTATCCTGAAAATTTAAAAAATTAATACTCAAACAATTATCTTACCAATTTTTAATACTTTGTAATCAGCTGTTTTATTTTAACGAAGATTTATTTACTTTTTCTTAAATAATAAATTTGATTTTATTGGCATCTATAAAATAAAATAATGTTGATCATATCATATACTGAGAAACGTGTTTTATATTTTTTTTTTAAAAAAAAAATATCCGTAACTTCACAACCATTTAAAGCTAGTTGCATGAATAAAATATTTTTTCTGTTTTTTTTTATATGTATATTGATTACATGAAAATTCTACACAATAAGAGCAAAGCGTTTATTATGAATTACTTACAAAAAAACTAAAATTTAGATTTATTAATTAACCATGCTTGACCCCTCATAACTTTCTGATCAATTTTTATATAAAAATGAAAGATTATTGCAAATATAGACATATAATATATATAGTGCAAAAACAATAAAAAAATTTTAAATTCAAATCCAACTAAACGCATGATATGATTCCTTATAAAAGATCAAACAACCTTATCATGAAACTCTTCGATGTCGTTAAAAAAAAGAGAGTTATTCAGTTATATACTATATACAGTAATAAAGGCACTGCATAACTCTGTTATACCTGATTATAAAGATACGAATTATGCTCTGATATCTAAATAGAGATTTCTTGATCTTCCTACATGATCGAAATTAATCAATTTCAAGGAAGTTCTTAAAATTGAAACTTTTATATGATCTGTGCGGGTGGGAAAGTTTGTAAATATAGTTTGTGTGAGAATCTCGTATCGTAGTTAGCTATATAGACAGAGAAACAAATTAGCTATAGAATCATAATAAACTCAGTAAAAAATCTATTACGTAACTCTTCATACGAAGTTTGAATCATATTATGTCATGTATAAATATAGTGAATATAAAAAGTTTGAGATAATTTTAGTACCATGTGCCAATGATAAAAAAGTTTAAAGGTTGATAAAAGCAGTATTTGTCTCCTACTCTTCGTCTTTACACACTATTCTTCAAATAAATAAATAAAGCAATATTTGCCTCTTATTTCTTACATTCTTTTCTGAACGTAAATATCACAATAATGAATATCTGGTTCAAATACAAGAAAGGCGAGCCGGTGGAAATTTCTTTTAAAGGAAATAACGCTAATGCACTGAAGAAACAAATTAAGACCGAACTAAAAAACCAGCTAGGAAAATTTGATATTAATCAAATAACATTACGAAAACCTGGAGAACATGAGAACTTAAGTGCGGAAATGTTGATTGAAGAAGGATTTGCAACGAGTTACAACGAACCTGTTGTCGTTGAAACCGGTAAGACTTTGAGTCAATGTGACGCACGCGCTCGTTACACCTAATGTGGCGCTTAACTGTCTTTAACACATGTCTGTGTGATATCTTGCTGTACTGTTATAACTAGAAAATTATCAGAAAATGAAGACTTTTCATATCCAATGTTATGATAATGAAGGTGTGCCGTTGGACAAATTTGAACAATTTACAATGCGCGACAATGAAGATTTCAGTAAATTGTTAAAGAGAATGGAGGCGAGAGGATTAGAAAACATTAAAGATTATAATGAAGTGTCCAAAATTATCACGTCACTTGAGGATATTCAAGTTAACGAATTTTACCGGATCAGTGCTTCGTATCTTACGGCAGTAAAAAATGGTGTTATGCGGACACAAGTCGAGGACACGGCATTAGAAGATGAAACGAGATTGGCTGTGGAAAATATCGTTAACAAAATACTCAAGTCCCCTATCACAGACTTTCCTAACCGAGTTGTGTATGGCAAAACTGGAAAGCCGATCATGGAATGGGATGGTATCTTCTTATGTTGTAACAAAGTGTTTCTATGTGAATCGAAACACAAGATGACTGAAGTAAGTATAAAAAAATTAATTGATGTACTCTCATGAATCTGTTGGACAATCTCACTGACAAATCTGATATTTTAAGGAAAAGATTACCGCGCTTGTTAAAAGATTAAAAGAATTTCCAAATAAACTGGAGGAAACGAAAGACTCCGAATTCAAGAAATTATTGGGTATGGAACATATTGGAGTCGCTTGTGCCACACATTTTACGAGAGAACTAAGACAAAAATGTGTGAATGAACTTGGATTAGTCGTTGTATATCCAGGAGATGGCCGTTATTGTGTAGAAGTACCCTCCAAAATATATGGATGTTATAAATGGTGTAATTATTTGTAGTATCGATCGTGATTTTTATATCTGAAGGTTACTTAACAGAAAATTACTAATATTTCATTGTAGTATTTTATCGTGTATATAGCTTATGTTTGTAATACAAATTCAGTTAAAATAAAAATTATTTAGTTGCATTGCTCTATTCTTTATTAAAGAATTTATTTCAGATCAGTATTTGTACAGTCGTAAAATTTAATAGTCAAATCCCCACGTACATCGAGATTAATAAGGTACACAGGTCGTTAGCATTTTCAAAAATTTGGACACTTTGCAAGTTTAAAGCCCTATATGCCAGAAAGGCACTGAAGAAATTACCGTAGAATTTCCAAAGCCAGCACCCTGCAAGCATGCTGTGAATTACGAATGCATTGAGAATTGTGTTCTGTCATCAACTAACGATATGGAAATTCCATTAGATAGTGCACAGAAGAAACATACTAGGGAGTCATTTATCGAGCAAAAAGCTAGAGACTGGTAGGAAAATGTATCAAGTACATAGCAAAGAATTAATAACTGATATTCCTTGTGTTGGTAGAAACTTGGAAGTAGCAACTGACGTCAGGGGAGACAAAAGATGTTTAGAACTCTCAATACTATTATAGGCAGAGAAAAGATAGCACGGGCAAAATCAATCCCTCTGGGTTCATCTTAAATCTTGGTACCGATTATGTAATTGCCGAAGTTTTAAAAAGAGTGTAACGGCTCGGCAATTAAAAAAATAGACACTGCGCCATGGGTTATGACGTTTCTTTTTTTAGCAATACGAATCTGATTGGCCGATCATCTCGTGATTTATCGAAACTCGCCAGCTCCTGGAACTCTCCTAAAACTATAGAGAAACTGGTAGGGATTTAGGGAGATCACATGTGATGCAAATTTTATAGCCATCTATGGTAATTTAACAGAATCAAAAAATTACGAATCGAATAAAAATGAATTTGAATTTATTAGAGTATAATATTGCTAAACAAGCTAAAATCGATAAAAACACTATAAAATCAATAAAATCGTTATATCTGTTATAATCTACTTATAATCGTAAAATTGATATAAACTGTTAAATATGTCAGGAACTCATATTAACAGACCAAGGCCTAATAAGTGTATTGACATTATTTTAGGCAAGGATTATAAGATTGTGCCTAAGCTGGTCAATAATTGTCATAAATTATCTTAGAGCGTATGTTATAAATTACAATTGTTATTATGCTAATAAATTCGAAAAGATTCTTAAGGTGAAAAAATTATATAATAATTTATCTGTCATTAGATTTCATGAAACTCCTTAGCAATGGACTATTCGTGTAAGAGTCGCTTTGCAAGCATTGATTACTGAGGAGAAAAAAGAAAGCTTTTATCATATATTCTGCCTTTTCGCATCATTCAGATAATGTTACCAGTAAAAGATATTCCATATGACTATCATAGATCTAGTATTCATAAGAGCAAAATGGCTATTTGTTTTAATTATTGGAAATTGGTAAAGATCACTATTGTAAAGCCAAAAAAACATATTTCAACAGGTGTTATAGATATGAATATCAGCTTAAACCTGAAGATTTGATGAAAAATCATTGGAATTACTTATGTTTCAAAGATAAAATTGAGATAAGTTATGTTCATTAACATCTCATTATTATGAGAAGCTGTTAGAAAATATATCTAGTAAAATTACAAATATTCAATCCTTAATTTGCAAAATAATACAGACAAATTATTTATCTCATCTCTGTTTATAAAACAAAATAACTTACTACTGTCTATAAATCATCTTAATGAACCAAAAGAAGCTAGGTTAAGATTAAGAAATGGGATAGTAATCATAATTGTCTAACATTTGACTAACTGGTTAGGAAAAATGTTTTATGTATAATCTAGAAGACAGTTAATATATTTTTCATAAAATTCAGGAGTTGTTCTATATATACAAATCATTTAGCAGAACTGTTTGTTTGTCACACTTATACAAGTAAAATATTGGCTAAAGGTAGTATTATTAATCAGCATGAAAGCTTAATCTTAAATGACTATCTATGAAGCATAAGATCCAATTAGATATGATAAAACCAAATTAATTAATAACACTAGTGAAGATGCTATAAATGATCTGCAATTAAACATGATGATTAAGTAATTCGTGATAATTTAGAAATACAAGAATTGATTTACTAACTCCTATTCAATGATCTTATGCAATAAGGAATTTTATTCATATTGATGATTATTTAAAAGATAGTGAAGGATTAATAGATAATGAAATTGTAACTATGATAAAATTAAAGAATAATGAAGTTGTAATAAATGATTTTTAGAAATGATTTTAAATAAAAAAGCTTTAAGTTGTCTATAATAATAAATTTGAAATATGTATATTTATAATTAATTTTATTGAATACATTTTTGTTATCTTTATAGATTAACTACAATAATTATTTATAGTTATACTAAATATAATGAACATAATCATAATAATAATACTTAATTAAGTTATATATAACTGATTAAATTATATTTATATAATAAAATATATAATATTATATTATATTTATATTTGAACTCATTTTAATAAGTTCAAATATATTTAATATATTAAATAATAATATGAATTACATAAATAAATATATTAAAATTATAGGTTATTATTTATTATTAGAATTATAAATTTTTTTAAGAAACTTTAAATTTTTCTGTTAAATAAAAAAATTAAATTTATATAATAATATATCCTTAAAATTTAGTATAATAAATCTTATAATAGAAAAAGAAAAAAAATAATATAAAATATTAATTTAAATTATATTTAATTTATTAAAGTAAAAATTAATTTTTTTAGATTTTATTATAAGAAGTTATATGTTTTTTTATCAAAATTATAAAAAAGAAAACCTTATATAATAAAATTTTATGAGATATAGGAGATTTGCTAGAAAACAGAGTTCTGAAAAATTTTGACTAAAATTTAATTCTTATTACATTTTAATTCTTTCAGAGAGAAACTAAAGTATTCTTGATCACCACAATTGGAAAAATTTTCTAAATTATCAAAATTATATTAAATTTTATATTAAAATTCCATTTTCCTAATAAATCTCCTATATATTAAAACTAAATATATATATATATATATTAAAAATATTAATGTAAAAACTTCTTATATAAATATAAATTTTTAATTTTAAGATTAAACCATAATGTAACAATTTACTAAATTTTAATTATTTGATATAAAAATTATTAATTTATTTAAATATTCTTCATTTATAATCAAATATAAGATATTTTGAAAAAATTTACTAATTATTATTTATTATGCATTATAAAGCATGATTTATAATATTATCTCAAAAATAAATTTCTAAAAAAAAATAGAAATTTTTACTAAATAATAAATTGAAAATTTTTGGATGGTAAAGTATATATAATATTTATTTATTAAATATTAATATACATGAAATTTTCTATTCATATATAATATCGCTATTAATTCATAAAATTATTAAAATATTAAAACTTAATAAACTAATTTTTGAAAAAGTTAAAAAATATATAATGAAACTTATAAAAATATTGATAAAAAAATTTAAAACTGGTTAAATCAGTTTAGTATAATGGAATAGTTTTAACAAGCATTATTGGTTTTATATTAAAATTGGTAATTTTCGCAATATAAATGTACATTAATATCGAAGATGAAATTAACTTAATAAAATTAATGGTCAGTTATGAATCCATAAAAATAAATATCAATTACAAATCATTCAAAAAATATTATTAATTGCTAATTATTCATGATACTTGAAATAGTAACTTTTTTGTATTATTATTTTTGTTTATTAATTATTTTTTCAAAAAAAAATTTGATTCAAATAAGCAAAAAGAATGTTTCGAACTGTAAAAAAAAGTTCTATTTTAAAGAAAATTTCTTTTATTTGAAAAAAGAAAATTAAAATGATTTTTCTTTACTATTATTCCAGAAAATGAAGTCTTATGCATTCGAAATCATAATATCAAAAAAAATAAGAAAATATTTTTCTTTTCTCAAGAAATTATTCGTTATAAAGGTTGTGCAATGCAATACTCTAAGATTGATTTTGAAATTGTAATTGTTTTGAAGATCTTAATCCAGGAACAATTACTGTACCTCCCCAAAAATAGCAAAAAATTTGTCATACAGCACCACTCAATGATTTTTCTACTTAAAGCAGGGATTATATGGTCATCTGATAATGTTTACATCGAATATTCTATACTTGGTCACAAAAAAAGGAGTTTTTTAAGTAAATCTTTTCTTTGAACGGAACTCGGAACAATCATTGAATCTATTCTAGTTTTTTTTTTCTTTGAAACGGAGTCCGGATCGCAAATATTTTGAAAAATAACTGTAACGATGGATGCAAATCTTTGGATTTTTAAGGTTATGAATTTTCGCGTAATAAAATCACGTTCATAAAAAGATAATTATCAATATGATGCAAGCTTTCCATACTTCTACATTTATTAGTAAAATCTTCTCTAAATGACCTCTTTATACATCTTTCTAAATGCAAGCTCCACTTCTTTTTATATAGCCCCAATGTAAAAACAAAGTTTTGTAACAGTTGCAACAAATTGTTTGGTTTGTCAGCAAATCATTTTGTCATTTGTTTTAGTTACTAATTAAATTGTTCTAGAAAGAATACGAAAATTTTTGATATTGCACCGTATTAATCTTTTCAGAGAATCTTCTGGAAGATATTGACGATTGCTATATTGAGATTGAAAAGCAAATCCTTAAAAAGTAGGACAATATTTTATTTATGTATATCATATTAAACACCAATTGAACATCGGAGTTCGGCCGAAAAGGTCATTGTTTAGGGTAATATTTCTTATCATTATAAAAAAAAATCGCATAAATTTAGACCAATTTCATGACCTTACCAATTATCGTTTTTAATAAGTTTGGTAAACAGTTATTTCTTAAAAATTGAAATCCGAAGCAAACCATGTCTAAAAATAAACGTAAACGTAAGCTATACAAATTTATTAAAAAGTAATACTGATTGATTCGATTGATTCAAAGAATTTGTATTAAAAATACTTGTGCATATATATAGGTAACTGTTATAAAATTAATGCTAAAAGTGTTCGACGGCCTACTAAAGAAGTAAACGAATGGAACTTTCAAGAACTTCGCAAATTTTTGGAATCGAGGGATATTAAATATGAAGATATTAAAATTATCATCGACGAACAAAAGGTCGATGGTTCATCCTTTCTTGGGCTGACCGCAGTATCTCTTGAGAGATGGGGAATGCTAGGTGGACCAGCTATAAAAATCGAAAATTTGGTCAAGGAAATTCAAGGTAAATAAATACCTTGATGAATTGTTTGCCATGATTTCATTCTCAGTATCGTATTTTTTTTCTCCTTTGCTTATTGTCTTCCTTCACCATGTAGGAAACAAAAGACCATTTACCGGAGAGATATTCCTTCTTGTCGATCATTCGAATTTGCTCGAACAAGGCAAAGACACCGTGAAGCGTTATGAGAAATTAGTGTACAAACCAAATATATACATTGAATATGAGCAACTTCGAAAAACGATAATAAACGGGAGAAAGTCGGGTGATTCTGCAGAAATATTTTGTTCTCAATTCCCAAAACATAATGACAAAAGACTTGATAACCTTTGGAACAAGCGTAGAAAACAAGGTTTTATTGTTAACATCATTGAACAAAAATCGCACAAGACAAGAGAAAAAAAGGTAGACACCTCATTAACTGTACAAGGGATGAAGAAAATCTTGGATGATAATGATCCCGGAATATTGGCTATAGTGGCAGGCGATAGTGATTACGTACCATTAGTTGAACAAGCTCTGGAGAAAGGGTGGAAAGTTGAAATATGGTTCTGGTCATCAGGTATGAAGATGAGATGTTAATATGTTTGTTGTCATGAATATATCTAAATGAATTCTTAACCTTACTTTTAGGATTATCTGGAGAATATAAACCCGAATTATCTAATAAATTTGGAATAAACTATAGTCTTCACTTTCTGGATGATGAATATAAAAAATTTACTTATGCACGTAGTCCAGAATCTCCTCGTGAATTTACTTTTGAAATCGAACATAAATGTGTTGAAAACTTGGAAGATGAAGACCTGTTGAAAATTTTCGTTGATTTGGATTTATTTGGATGGTGGCATTGGAACAATAATAATCATTTATTGGTTTATGTTAATACAGAAAAGCAGAAAGAAGAAGTAGAAAAGGTGTTTAACCGATTTGAAGAACACGAAGAAAACGAAGAACAAGAGAATTTAAATCTTGCATTATATTTAGATAAAAATAAGCTTAACGGAAATAAATTTTGTTATCTTATTTAGTATGATATAACCTACATTGTATTTAATTTTGATAGAATAGAAGTTATCCTATTTAAACATTTTATAAACTTGCATTATTTGTCATTAATTAATAAACACTTCATATTACACAATATTTGAGATCAATTGATGCAGTATAAAAATCCATTACCGAATCATTATTTTCTGAAGGTGTTAAAATATATCTTATTAATTAGTTGATTAGTCTCAATATTCTTTTCGAATATTTCCATTATCATGCTAATATAAAAGATATAAATATCGTGTTTAATAAGTTTTTGAACTTTAATCGAAAGTCATAATCCAGTTGAATGAATTATAAGGAACCCTCTATGTATTTTATCACACTATGTTTTATATCATTAAATGATGCAGCCCTTAATTAATAGATTTATGTTAATAGAAATTTACCAGATGGCAAATTAAAATTTTTTATACAACAATCCAAATATTTTTGATTTTTATTACAGTGCCAAATCAGTGTATGGATAAAGAAAGGATAAGGTATAAATGTGTTATAGCGCGTGATATATTTCCTATCGATTACAACAAAATAATTACAAAAATAAATTCTTCACCAACCAATTTCTGTAAAAAAAAAACCTTGGAAAGTATCTACCTTAAATAGGAAACTTACTAGGATGCATTATTTAAAGCCAAGCAGAAAAGTGGTACCGACAAAATTAAAATTTTCTGTAATATGAAATTTGAAAATCAAATTCAAGGCTCCTTCTTCAAAACTTGGAATACTTCATAATCTTCTATTGAGAAATTTTCATCAGTGTTTCTTATCGCTTTTTCATATACATTTAGCAAACAATAATTATAATTATAATTTTCTTTATAATCAAATGGATTTTCTATACAAAGATCAGTATTAAATGTGGGTCCACATGTAAAGTTATAAAATAATGCATTTTCTGTATCCCTTACATGGCTTAAGATTGGATCTTTGAAGTTATCCTTGTTCTTAAAAGAAAAATATAAAACTATCTTTGGCATTGCCATATTCGTAACTACTAGATTTCCATATTGTAGGATTATATCCTCCAAGAATTTCTTCTGTCCCCTTTACCTTAATGAATATAACTGTATAAAGTATATTATCACATAATTCATGAAACATTTTAGGAGTAATTCCATCTCGACTTCCTCTTAATAATAATTTAAATTTAAATGGTAAATACAATTCTCTCGCGTAAGCAAATTTGCTTTTAATATCTACTTTATCGATCCATCTTGAAATTAAGGAAACAATATTTAAATTAACAATTGTTGTATCGATAATTCCATCAATATTTTTATATCTAGGAAGTAAAATGCCGTCACTTGGTTCACTATCGGGATCGAAATAGGAATTTAATAAATTTTCATAAAGTTGACGTTTCAAAATTCTTTTGTATGGACGAACTCTTTTGATAAATTCTTCAGAAGATAAACTAAAAAATCTAATTAAGGGTAAACATTGTTGTAAAGTATTTTCCATTATTTTGAAATCATTATCTAACCAAGTTTTTGGATCTGAAAAGAGTGTAGGATTTTTTTCCAGACCCCAATCTAATACGTGCCCCCAAATTTCAACTTCTTTCATTTGTAAATCATCTCTTTTGATAATTGAAATTAAGGTTTTTTCAGAAAGAGAAGTGAAATCAACCGACCTAAATGTTTTTTCGGGTGATTGAGCAATAATTCTCGTACAATATTGTTGAAGTTCCGATAAAGAATTAGATCGAAAGCTTTTTTGTAAATTACGTACAAAATTTTGTTCTATCCATTCAGATTTGTTTTCAATTAAATATTTTTGTAAATACTCAACAAGCTCATGAAGGAGAAGTTCATTAGCAGCAATTAAAACTTCAAAAATATCAGAAGTTTCATATTCATTTAATGAAAGAATTCCGCCATACATATATCTTTATTATTATTATTTAAAGTTTATTATAAGTTTAGAAATGTAAAAAACAAAAATAAAATGATTAATAAACATAACTTACTTCAAAATAATTTGAAAGATTTCCGGTAAAATATTTGGCAATTTAATATGAGCTAAAACGCCCTCATTATCCTTTTTATTGGAAGCTAAAGTTCGTCGAAAAAACGGAGAACGGTAACGCAATATAATCATGTGTGCACGGAATATTTTTACGTTTGGGTCTTCTCCAGCTTCGATTGTAATATCATAATATTCGTCATCATCTAATATTTCGATATAGTTTTGACTTAATTTGGGAAAGAATTGTGCAGACATTGTTTAAAATTTGAAAGTTTTTTCTGGGGAAAAAAAAATTTGTTTCTAAATCCAAATATTTAAATGTTATGCCGATCTTCCGGTGATCAGCGAATATTTATATCATCATTTGTATTCTTTTACAAAATATCTTTAAAATTATTTCTTTTCAATATAAAATTATCTTTAGTTTTGCATAAAATTTATATTGAAGAATTATATTTTAAAAATAATTTGAGATAAGGATTTTCATCCATAATGTTTATCTTTTGCTTTTCAAATTTAAAATAAATTTTACTAACTAATGTAAGTTAATATGTGATATATTAAAAATTAGTTATCATTAGTGATACCTGCCTAAAATCTTTTTTAAAAAATTGTAGTTTCATCAAAAGGTTTCGTCTCTTTAATATTTTTATATGAATAAATATAAAATTATTATATTTTTTAATGTATTTTAATTTAAGGAATTTAGATTGAATTAAATATAATTTCATCAATTAAGTAAAATAATTTCATTATTAATTAAAAACTAGTTTCATAATTTCAGTTTTATCAATTTTATCATATTAAGAAAGGTAATTTCGTCAGGTATCACTAGTTATCATACAAATAATATTTTTTTAAGTAAAATCAACTTGACCTGATTATTGTTAGATTCAACCCAATTATTGCTTAACTCAAATTTGACTCAAATTTTTAAGGGTAATATTTATACTGAAAAATTTTTTTATTTATACAGAATATGAAAAAAATACATTAATTTTGAAAGTTTATTATTTTTAAGTTCTTTGGTAATATAATAATTCAAATTTAATTTCTTTAAATATATTATTGCTACCAGGAATTTAAACACATATGTACACAAATTATATTAGCTTTAAAATCACATCTAAATTTATTTCATATGAATATTTATTGTTTTATTAAAATAATTTCATATTTATTTGGGTATAGTAATTATGTATGGTATAGATTTTCATGTATAGAATGTATGGTTTTACAATTGATGTAAAACCATACCAGTATGAATTTTTAGATTAATAATGAAAGTAAAAAATAAACAATAAAAAAAAAAATAAAAATAAAATAAAAATAAAAAAAATAAAAATAAAATGATAAAAAAAAAAAGCCTAAGAAGGGGGGGGGGGAGGGGGTCTGGGGGGTATACCCAGAAAAAATTATATATTAACATTTATTTTATTCATTCAAAAAAGCGGCTTCTACTTTATATACTTTAATCATCTATTAGATAAATATTACGTATTATTTACAATTCCATAAAATTTCAAAACAAATCTGATTTTAATGTAATATGGGGCCTTTGCAATAGAAAGGGGGGAAACAGCCGAAAAAATAAAAAGTGAGTTAATACTAAATTTGAACATATTTCAGCATAAAAATCATATTTGGCATATAAAGTAAAATTAATTTTTCCCGGCAGTTTCCCCCCTTTCTATTGCAAAGGCCCCATATAATCTATTATACTTTAACTATATAAATTACAAATATAAGCTTAAACTGATTTGTTTTTTTCGTACTAATCTGTTTTTTTTGTGGTGATTATTTTTACTATATTTGTTCAAGACTACACCAATCAAGGAAAATTTCTATAATCAAAAAGGAAATTTAATAATTGATATTTACGAAAAATATAATTTATATAAATACAAGCCGAATTTATTTTTTTAAAAAAATTTTCTTTTCTTTTTATTTAAAAATATAAAAGAATGGTTTTTCTAGTTTAAGAATTATTATGTAATCGTAGTTTTATATTGAAATATTATTTGCTTATTAATAAATTCATAAAATATGAAATATAAAGCTTATTAATAGATATATATAAAGTATGCATAAATATAGTGAAATTGAAAAACACACTTAAAAACCAAATTTTATTTACGAAACAAAGTATCATCAATCATATGATTATACTGTGCTATAATGTCAATAATGAAATAAATTTTATTTAATATATTTAATAACCAAGTACCACTCTTTCTCAGTTTTATATTTTTTGAAAAATGAGTTTATGAATAGTAATAATGTTTATTATCAGGCTGCTGAATAATTTTCTTTTTCCTCTGGTTGCTCACAAGTATGGATAATTTCTCAGTATGGATCTAATTTATACCGGTATGAATTTTAATCCATACCGGTATGAATTTGCAGTAATTGTAAAACCATACATTCCATACATGAAAATCCATACCATACATGTTTCCGAACTACCCTTTAAAAATTAGTATATAAATTTAGTAATCTAAAGAAATTTTTCAACGGTAGGTTTGTTAATAATTATATTGATTTCAGATCTGATATTGTACAATACATAGTCCGTTTCCCAATTAGGTATGTTTATAAAAAGTGAAATTGAAGAATAGAATTAAATAATATTTAATTTCGGGTTTCCCGATAAAGTTTATATACCATAATTTTTTATTTATAAAGTATCTTTTTTTTATTATTGTATATTAAAGATATTCACGTTGGCATCCATTTGAACAACATATAATGCGATATTTTAGTTCCTGTGTATTTTTTAATTTACACAGCCTATGCCAAAATTTTGATTCTAGATTCTATTAAATATCCGAAAAAGAAACCATTGATACTTTAAATTTCTTACCGTTTTATATAAAGTACGTCCGTCTATACCAGGTTTAATGTTTTTTTCTCATTTAAGAGAATATTTAATAATTCAAAAATTTCAAACATTTGATGTGCATTATTAACCTTTTAGACTCAAGTTGTGAACTTGAGATTCTTTCCG